TGGAATTCATTTTTGAGTTATATCACAAAAACGACAAAAATATTCAGAATTAAAACTTTCGGTAAAACCACCAATTTGATGGCTTCCTAAATTATCCCCCAACATAGCAACAACAGTGTCAACAAAATTTATTGTTTTATTACCAACATTAATATCTATTCCTTCATTTTCTAAACATTTTAAATCATTTATAAGATATTCCATTATTTTTTCCCAACCAAAAAATGTTACATGTTTTTCATAGCATAACATAACAAGCTGTATATTATCAACTTTTGATCTGAGGTAAGGGGGTAAATTTCCTAGCACCATATATACGCCAACAAGTTTAAATTTTTTTTTAGCTGAACCCAAAGGATTACATATTTCAAATGCATCTTGATACAATAAAATTTGTAATGTATATTTATTATTACGAAAGAAATTGTTGTTTTTTAATACACTACCATCTTTAATATCAAAGAGCGCATTACTATTAGAAATCTGAAATAAATTTAAACAAAAGTTTTGAATATCAGAATTTTGTAATAAAACCTTAATAGTTTTCAAAATTGGAATATAATAATAAAAACATTGTTTGTGATTGTTATCAATTTCTAAATTAATTTGTACAGGCATCACAATGTGAAAATTTTGTTGAAAATATATATTTCTTGAATACGTATTTCGAAGACTACCATTAATGGAATTATGAATATTTTCAAAAAAAGAATGACTGTGTTGAAACATATCTTTAATTTTATCTTTTATATCATCTTGAATATCACTTCCATTTAAAGACTTAATAAAGTGTTCATGAATAAGTTTCAGTATAGATGACATACCATCTATTACAGCTTGTAGAGCAAATTCTGTTAGAAAATATTTTGCAGTCAAATTTAAATATAATTGTGAAATAGCTTTTTTAGTATTTTCTATATCACCAAAAACTTGATTTGAAGTTATCTCTTGAGAAACAAGATTGAAATGTTACTCACATCAAATTAAATTCTTCGTTATTAACAATAAACTGCTTATCAAAATTGTTTTCATTATTATTATATGAATGATGTCTACATATGTGCACTGCATAAGTATTGACTGTCTTGAAAATTGTGTTATTTAGAAGACAAGATCGATATCCACAACAAATCCCAATTTTACTTTGCCTAATATGATTATATAAATGTTTATGAAAATCTACTCTATTTGTAAAATAATTGTTACAGTTTTTTTCTTTGCAACAATAAGTAACACATGTTCTTTCTTTATAATTTTTTGTGTGGCATCTAAGAATATGTTTTTTAAAATTAACATATTTATTAAAATGTTGCCCACAGTTTTTGAACAGACAAATAATTTTTAAATAAGGCATGTTTTTATGAAAAATTTGATGCTTGTTATACAAAAGAATGGATGAAAATGTACTGTTGCACATTACACATTTGAACATTGTTCAATATTTAATCTTCAAATAAGTAAATAAAGAAATTTATAATTGTGTAGGAAGGAGTTTGTGTGAAAGGAGAAATAAAACTGGACTGAGATAGGATTCATATAAGGATATTTCCTTTCAAAGTAGTAACTGCAACATATTTTATATGAAGAATTATTGAAAAAAAAGAAAATAAAATTGAATGTCACACAAGTGAATGATATTACAATGACAATTATAACATTTGTATACATGTTTTGAAATCAATTAATAAAACATATCATATTATGATCTTACCTTGTCCTTGGCAAATTTCTTTTGTAGACTCACTCAACTGTTTGAAATGTTGCTTTAGAAAACGTTATATGAGGAAATAAACAGAACGAAGTTAATAGTTAGAGATGATCTGCTCAAGGTTATTAGAAGAATCCTCTTTCTTTTATTATATATCACTGCAAATTTTAAGTTAAAAATATGTCAGATTACATAGCACAAACTTGGATTTTAATAAATTTAAAAATTAATATTTATAAAATTAAAAATACAAAATTATATGTATGTAAAACTGTGATTTTTCAAATAATTTTTACGATTGTAAGTTGAATTTATGTAAAAACAAAAAAATTCTATTTAAAAAGCATGAAAGATTCTATTAATTTACAAATATATATGCAAAAAATTTTTTGTTTGAACATTACAATATAAAAAATAATGATATTATAAAGATTTAATGAAATTACAATAAACAGCTATTCTTTATAATGTATATGTTTCGAAACTAATTATTAAAATATTTTACTTACCTATCTTGTGAGACCAAAAGATTGCGTGATCGAACAAACAATAACGATTTAGGCAAATTGAACAAAGACGATAATCTCGATGAATGTTATACGGATGTTCTCTCTCTCTCACAGAGAAATATATAAAAATTCATGCACTTCGGGATCCGGACAATCGGACAATGCTTAGGGCTAGAAAGTACAATGGCTAATGGCTGGATGCAATCACGCACGAACACGAACTGGCAGCTTTTCGATAATCGTCATTTCGACGGTTTAGCCAATTCGTTACTAGTACGTCAGACTTATAACACGCATGCGACAACGCTGCTTACGCGATCGCTAACCAATCAACTACGAGTAGCTGCTGCGCGCCTATCTCGAGATATTAATGCCATCACATCGCGCATATTCTGCAGCGAGATATTACCATTATATTTTGGTAATATTACAAAAATTAGGATAATTACATAAAATATTTGAAATATTATATTATTTATGTAATTTTCATATAAAATAAGATATATTTACACAATAATAGACAAATCTACATAATTTTTGTAAAATTACAAAATTTCTGTAAAATAATATAACTTTTTTAAAATTACATGATTTTGTGTATTTACTGCATTATTTATGTAATTTTTACGTCTATTATTTGTGTAAATTTACCGACTTTTTTTACAGTGCAGATATGATAGAGCAGTTAAAAATATGGAAGTACCTAATTCAACTTGGGAAGAGCATTTTGTTAAAAAAATATATGCAACATGTTGTAAGTAATTAAATATTATTTTTACTTTTTTGTGATTTATTTTCTATATGTACGATTGATACTTGTCTTTACTTTTATAGCACGGAAAATCGTGGTGCTTATTATATGTTATTAATTTTTCAGCTGACTATACAGTGGCACGAACAAAATTAAAGCTGGCCGAGCAATTATCCGATATAAACTCACGTACCGACGAGGAGAGAGAGGGAATTTTTAAAAAATCACGAAAAATGAGAGCGGCAAAAGCACATGATTCTAATTCTTACGATTATGATTTTGAAAACGATGAAAACGATGAAAACGATGAAAACGATTCTAATGAAGCAATGTTTTCAAAACCTCCAACTGACAAGCTAACAGATTGTAAAGAGAGATCGAAAAAGAAAGCAATTCAGGCAAACAAAGGTAACAATACAATAAAATATGAACAATAGAATTGAGCATTTTTCCAAATAAGAAAAATTTGATAACGAATTGAGTTTTATTATTGAAGAAAAATTAATTTCCTATTTGAATACAAATTTTTTCGTCTATCTCGAATAAAATTATATCTCGAACGAAACTTATATTTATGTTTTACAAATAAAATTTTATTTTAATTTATTTTCAATTTAAAAAAGATATTCGACATATACTAATAAATATATTTATTGTAATTAAAACATTATTGTGTATTCTTAATTAAAACTTTAAAATTAAAAACTCATAAAAATTTAAATAATAATATGAAAAATAAAATTAAAATTGAAAGCTAAAGCGTAGCCAATGCTACATGTTTTTGCAAAATATTTCTAAAGAAAGAATAAAAACAAACGTTTCAGCCTCAATCAGGCCTTCCTCAGTATAAACAAAAAGTAAAACATTTTCTTCATTTTAAATATAAAACAGTAAAAGTCAAACGACTTCTAAAATGTAATGCATTAAAATAATAAAAATAAGCTTTTTATGATTGCAGATTTGAAGATCACTAAAAGTTTTGACATACAATCTGGAATATCAGAAAACATAGCATCTTGCTGTTCTTACAACGTTGAAGAGGATAATTTTTGTAAGTAATTTTTATCAAAATAGAAGACAACAGTGATTTTGTTACAAAATAACAATAATAATACTAGAAAAATTCAGAATATGCTGTATTATATCATTTATTTTTTTATAATTAGATGAAGATTAATATTAATAATTTTTCACATTTTGTATTAAAAATCTTTTACTATTAAAAAAATTTAATTTATTATGTAACGTATAACAAATTTTGTATTATCTCGCACATTAAAACAATATTGAATACATAGAATAAAGCAATAATAACATTTTATTGGAATAACAATAGTTAAATTTTTTGTATTATTTTTAGCTTCACAATGCAGCACAATTTTGGGTTCAAAGTCTCATGATTATGAAAATGTAGTCCGACATAGTCTTACAAATTTAAATGTAAATAATAGCAAAGGTTTGTAAATTTCTATATACTTTCTATTATATGTACGCTAATAATTTATATTTTTTTACGAGTATCTATTATATAAGTATTGTTGCGCTCGCGGAACGATATTTCACGCACACGTCAACGGAACTCGCGAAATCAAAGAAATACAACACAGCACTTCAAATAACAAAGAACACTTTAATATATAACACAGAACTCGACAATTAGTATCCGAGAATACAATTAAAATATCGGAGCCGTCGCACACGTCCGCCCGAGCAGACAGCACCCGAAAATCTGACGTCTCATAGTTTATTTACAAACAATCCATAGTGACGTCTAAAAAAAATTACCATGGAGATTGTTTATAATATTTCAGCTGCTAAGAAACAGCTTCTTGAACGGTTGCACGACCGATCGATATTATCGATCGGTCTCTCAGCTGACTGCACACAGCATCAGCAGTGAAAAAGCACGGGCGTAACACTGCCCCCCTTTTTCAAAATTGTCGTCCCGACAATTGTTTTGATTAAATGGGCTGACTGTAGTCTTCATGTCTTCTAGTGTTGACTCCAGGATAACATTACGACTTCCTGCCCTACCCTGAGCTGCTGCTACAGGTTACCGAGCGTCGAAATTCCCAATCAAACACTTTCAGGATCATAAAAGATTCTGTCGTTGAACCCTTTAGCGTCGATTCCAGGATATTTATATGGTTTCTTGCTCTACCCTGAGCTACTTTTGCTGCAGGTTACCGAGCTCGATCTTCTAATATCCAATCGACTTTCTTCTCAAATTTTTCTGACTTTTTCTGCTTTCCAATTTCTTATTTTTGAACAAGAGAGGGGTATTCACCGTGGACCCATCGCCCTAAAAAGGACTTCTCAAGCCCACTGCTTCGGCATTCACCCTTCGGCTCACGGGAAAACCACGGCTCAAAAACCGTGAGCGAAGCAGTCTTCTATGAAAGCTTAAAAATTCTTTTCTCTTTTCCACTTTTTATAACTTTGTCTTTAATCCTTTTTCCAAAATCCTTTTTCCATTTCCTTTCTTCAAACCTTTAAACTTTGAAACGGTACGGTGTTTTACGCGGAATAGCTCGTCGGAGTCAGGAGTTCAGTCGGTTGGGGGCACGTAAAAGAATGCTCGGATGAAATGAGTAAAGCGAAAGAATAAAATAAAATAAGATTTATTTCAACTGATGAAGTCTGCTATATACAAATCCGCGTGGATACAGAGCGTTTGATATCTTTGTTTGAACGCGGGTTATAATTTTATCTTGGTGGTGTCGAACAATGTGTAACGGTGGTCGTGCGGTGATGAGCAAGTGTCGGCGCAAGCGCGGGTGCCGCAATTGTCTCTAGGCGACTGCGAGCGCGTGGATCGATACGTTCGGGCGGCGTCGATGGTCGATCGACTGATCGATATGCTCGGGCGCGTGCGTGGTGATTTCGATGTTCGCTGTTGATTCGCGATTGCCTGCCGGATTTGAGGACCCGATTTTAAGAGGATGAAGACGGGAGCGAAGACGCGCGTATTGCCCGCGTCTCGAAATGGCTGGTGTTCTAATGTGGAGCCGAGTATTCCCGGTGGTATACGGGTAGGCCCGTATGTAAGAGTGAAGCCGAGTGCGCTCGGTAATATACGAGTGTGCTCGTATTTAGGTAACGAGACCGAGTATGCTCGGTTATAATACGAGTGCGCTCGTATGCGAGGTAACGAAACCGAGTATGCTCGGTAACGTGCGAGTATGCTCGCATGACGGAACGGAGGACGGTTCCTGGCGGCCGAGTATGCTCGGCAGGAATACGAGTATTCTCGTATCGCGGTCTAGAGCCGAGTATGCTCGGCGAGGATACGGGTGTGCCCGTAACGTGGAAGCGGTTCCTGGGGCCGAGTATGCTCGGTTGGTGCACGAGTATGCTCGTGCTCGTGAGGCTGCTGGACATAGACTTCGAGTATTCTCGAAGGATTACGAGTGCTCTCGCAACAGGACGTTCACTGGCGAGCAGTGAACGGGATCTGGTGGAAAAGCGTACAGCCGGGCCTCTTTTATACCCGGCTGCCGCCCGACTGGCGAAGGATCGGCAAGCATCGGCGGTTTAGCCGGCGGACCCCCACCTGGTAAATTTCGAAAACGGTCGGGTGTGGGGGGCCGTCCGGCGATTGACCGTCGGTGTTTATACGAAAAGTTTATCGGCGCGCGATGCGCCCTTTTTGGCTACGGACGATGTTCGGTCCGTAGCCGTGACGATGCATGCTGCATCGTTACAACTTCTTTCTTCAAATATCTTTTCTCCACTTCCTTTCTTCAAACATCTTTCCTCCACTTTTTTTCTTCAAATATTCTTTCTCCTTTTCCTTTCTTCAAACCTTCAATCTCCTTTCTTCAAATATCCTTTCTCCATTTCCTTTCTTCAAACATCTTTCCTCCACTTCCTTTCTTCAAATATCCTTTCTCCTTTTCCTTTCTTCAAACCTTCAATCTCCTTTCTTCAAATATCCTTTCTCCACTTCCTTTCTTTTCAGGAAACTCTAAACAAAAAGAAAATAAGCAGAATCAAATGAACAAAATTAATTTCTAAACACATAAAG